GCCGTTGCGTGAGCACGATGAAGGTTCTAGTATTCGGCAGTCTAAAATGAAGACGAGAAAACTCACACGGCAACCTAACTCGAGATTAGGCTTTAACAACTCACCTGGCAACATTTCTGGTGCCTTTTGCGCGAGATGTTTGAAAGCTGAAGTCAGAACATTATTTTACTGCAGAGCAGATTTTTAAGGAGTGTCTTCCAACGGAAATCAGGAAAGCCCTTTATATCATAAACTGGCTAACTCAACTAATGGGGTCGCGACGCGAGTAAAATAGAAAAGTGAAAACTGGTATAAAGAGTTTAGTCGTGAGGTCGTGGATCAAGTTATGAGAAGTGAGGAATCACTCAGATACACACGAGAGCCCACCCCACCCCCTTTCCCCCACCTCTAGCGGCTCTATACATAAGAGCTTGAGTTCACTAGTCAGTCCTGGTATGCATTCAATCAAAAATGTACACTGGACAAGCCTCATGCATTTTTGTCGTAGATTTTGCGAAACTCAATACTCTGCAAGAAAAGATCGTTAGTACAATTTAACGTTATATATTAGTCTTGTAATCTAGTGCAGCTTCCTCTGCTATTCTAATTTGTAGGAGATGTTTGCAAGTGAGATATTATTTTCACATCAACTAGTTGCAAAAAGTGAAGTAGGAGGAGAAGTAGAGCGTCAGAATTCCGAGAGGAAGCAGGTGAAAAAAGCTGTGGAAACAGAAAATAGAGTCACATTTCCTTGAAAATTTCATCTATCACCCCCAGGAGGCAATACTCCAAAACCAGTCACACTTATCTTCACTAGCACATTCCTTTAATGTCTTGCGAATAGACGGCCGTTAAGACGAACTGATCAAATGCCTCATTCGCAGTGCGCATTCGTGAACGGTTCCGCCAATGTTTTCGCCATCTGAGTAGTTCTTTAAATGCATTTTTCTCTGAAATTTCGATAGAATTTCTGACTAGAACTGGGACTGGCCACATATCTTGATGTTGCCGAACCACTCCTATGTAAGCGCATCAAACATCTCGCATAACAAGGTCAACTCCATCCTCCTAAGGATAATCATGGTTCATGGTCATCTCGTTGTTTGATAAAACAATCCCCTCTTTTGGCAAAGCATTACGCTCAGCAGAGTAGAAATTTGGCATCATCACTATCAGCCGAAAGATGGTAAATCCTTCACCGCGCACGAGATTCTCCGCCGCGATGATCGTTCATATACACGTCCCTGCGTCCGCGCCGTATAATCTGCTGGCGCCGTATCTCTCACAATGCGCAGTAATTAATTTGGCGAGATAGCTCCAGCCAGAACTTTTCTATTCGTTTACTTGGTGAGCTATAGGTATCATTATGGCGAAATTTGGAAGCTATTCGATCACAAACAAAGAAACTAAGAAGCTTTGAAAATTGGCCCAACCTTCTTAGTTTTTAAGCTTATGTCGAAACAATTCGAATTTCATAGTTGTGCCGAAAAAGTTTATAATCTTGCACAACATATTATAACCCATGATTTTGATTTAGGAAAATGGATCCAAGTATTTTAAGAAAAAGTCACACTTACTTGGCCGGTTGCGGGGGTCAGCGCCCATTCACTGTTGCACTTGTACACAAATACTTGCAATACTAACAGCAATAAACAATGAAATGGCCGGTTAAGCTCATAATTAGGAAG